AATAAATCAATCGTAAAAAAATCAGGTGAACTTTTTATTCGTATTGTATTGTATTCTTAGAAAAAAAATAATAAAATAAATAAAAACTCAATGTCCTACAATTACGACCTTACAATTATCAAATCATAATAACCGATGTAAGGAAAAAATAAATTATCATGTAAACATTACTTATGACGATTGTATTATTTGACAATTAAAATAATATTACATTTTTTTACAGTTAATAATATATATTTATTTAATTTTAGTAAGATAATAACACTTATCGTAGGTATATATGTTGAAAAATATAATTCTTTCTACTATGTGAGGTATTCATTTCCCTGCTCTTTTATCTATTGAAATTATTATTTATTATTACATTTTAAATCGATAATACTAAATCTAAATTCGATAATTTTGGTTTTTACAAAAAAAAAAAAAAAAAAAAAATATAATAATAAATAAAAAGAATATTACTATAATGATAATAATTTGGTTGATATGTTGATACCGAAGTACATAATATGCTGTATAATTTTTAATTGATATGTAAATCGGAATTTACGAGATATTTGAAGGAAAAATTTTTCGGAATTTCCGTATATTACGCGAAAACGTTTTATTTACAACGATGATATTCAAATGTTAACACAATAATGCAAAATTTTATTTTTTTTTATTTTTTTTTTTTTTTTTTTTTTTTTTTTTTTTTTTTTTATGCTTTATAGTAATGATTCTATGTTTCTACAGACATTTTTCTTCCCCTCGTGCTAATAGAAAACAAAAAAAAAATTTGTTGATAATTCTGAATTATGGATAATATAATTTCACATACAAATCTCTAAACGTATTAACTACTAAATATGAAAAGCATGTAAAAAATAAAAAAGAATTAAACAATACATCGATTAATTGTATAAAATTAATGTAGAAGAAGAATCGCTTGAAAAATTTATCGAAACTATAGTTGTACGAGAATTTATGAGCAATAAGTAAAATTATCGTATCATAGTTTATAGATTTATACGCATTTTCTCAAGATTTCCTACACACAACTATTATATAAGCTACAATCACTTTTATCATATATTTAATATATTTAATCTTTAAGTATAATTCCTCGATGCTTTATATTATTGTAATAATGGATTTATTATGATAAAAGATCATGAAGAGTAGTAGTGTATTCATACGCGGCTTCCAGCCAGGAAAAAGAAAAATTTGTGGGACGGTGATAGTTCTTGCACTAATAATTGGATCCGTTCTTTTGGCACACACGGCTTTTGGTGACAAAGCAAACGAGAATTCTTTAAATAAAGTATTTTTCGTAAGTATATATTTATAATCAATTATTATGCTTTTATTATGAAATACGAATTTCATTTGGAATTATTAAAATTCATTGAAATTAGCATCCCATATAGACATGTATGATATATTAGTACAAGTCTTTATTTGTTCAAAAAAACAAAATAAAACAAAAAACGAAGTTTGCAATTTTTAATTATTGTCGATTGTTGTTATTTTCATGAATATATATATATATATATATATATATATATATATATATTTTTTTTTTTTTTTTTTCAGGTGTTCCGCCATGGTGACCGAAACCCAACAGAAACATATAACAACGATCCTTATAAAAATTACTTGTGGCCCAATGGTTGGGGAGCTTTGACTAAGGTTAAAATTTTTATACCTATAATATCCTTTTTAAAATGCAATAATAGTCTATAGCTTTCTAGACTTTTTAGTCTATTTTACGGAATAATACCGAATGAATGCGTACACTATGACAATTAAATACTGTTAAAATGTATGATAATATTGTCGGCTTTAAATTAATAATTTTTAATTTAATTATACGAACGCGTATAGAACTAATTATCAAAAAATCGAATCTTTTATACGAATGAAATTGTTAACAATTACAAGACAAATATTTCATTCGCGGTATAAATTTCATAGTTATATAGTATTAAAAAAAAAAAAATAGAAATTTTTAACATTTAACGTGAACTATGAAAGAAAAATAAATACATAAAAACTGCTTCTTTTTTTTTTTCTTTTTTTTTTTTTTTTTATAACAAACATTACGATGTGACAAACGCGCATTTTCATTATTTCGGCTGAGAAGATATTTTTCGCACAAACATAAAATGCCATAGAGTCTGAAAAGACAAACGTTTCAACGAGAGTTTAAAATTCCTAACGATGGTGCATCTCGCGCTCTTGCTTGGATTATAGAAGGGAATGCGTCAAATGTTCGGGCTTGGACAATTGATTCGCAAAGAATTCGGCTGGATTACCAAGAATACGTACAATAGTGTGAACACAATAGTGAACAGCAGCTACTCTGATCGCTGTATAATGTCGGCCCAGGCGCTGCTCGCCGGACTTTATCTAGAAAAGGATAGCTTTGTTAAAGACTTACATTGGCGGCCTATTCCAGTTCATTACCTCCCGAAGATTATGGATACGGTAAGGCCATTTGGAATATTCATTTTCCCTCGATATTGTCACATTGGCATTACGTCGATTCGACGGGCATGAAATAATCTGTGCTATCTATCTATAAAAAAAATCTATAATCACAATCACATAATCCTCTTTTTTAGACGTTTAGCATTTGCTTTACAACGAAAAGGCTAAAGTGCCAATTTAATCCTTCCTTTACTCTTAGAGTAAAATCAACTTAATAATTTAATTATTATTATAAGTAATATTTGAAATTTTTCTTTTAAAAGCGCATTTTGACAATCGGCAATATATTTTTCAAACGGGGATTCTTTTTAATGAGAAATTTTATAATTAATTATCTTATCGAATTTTATTTACATATTACTCGTAATACATAAAGATTTGATTTTCTTTCGTTTCAAGAAAACTCTGTTCGTTACATCATTATTTAGAAGTCAAAGTAAACATGCAACTTAAGAAAACAAAATAACAACAACAACAATAATAATAATAATAATAATAATAATAATAATAATAATAATAATAATAATAATAATAATAATAATAATAATAATAATAATAATAATAATAGAAAAATGGTAAATATGAAACTGCGACGTATAGATAACATTATTCTCTCTCTCTCTCTCTCTCTCTCTATATATATATATATATATATATTTGTTTTCTTATTACAATATAATTCTCGAGTTTTCTACCAGCAATCTATTCAAGAATAATTCAAACTAATGAAAATTCATTAAAGTATGATTTAATTTATAAAAATTCGTTCACTATTTTATTTATTTTAATTTGAAATGTTACTAAATTAATCGTTGGAGAAAAAGTTTGCAGACTGAAAGAAGCATTTTATTTTAAAATTTTATTTACGAGAACGCGAATGGTGTAAAGAATCTTGAATATATAATCTCCATCGAGTTAAAAAAAAAAAAAACTTTTTAACCGAATTTGAATAGTTCAACAACTATTTTCAGTAATATGTAAAAGAACTCATATTATATATTTAAGCAAATATTTTGAGCACTTTTTTACAAAGTTAAAATTGTTTTGTTAACTTTAGTATTAACATAAAGTTTTATCTCTATCTGTGCTGCGAATTAATCGATGAAACTTAAACGATATTTAACATTAAGTCACCAGTCATATCTTTAATTAATAAGAAAAAAAAATATCTTATAGTAGCACAATGTTCATCTTCTTTCAAATATATTTTACACTAGACAAATTTTGTTAAGATTAGATTGTGAGATTAAAGTGTCGTTTAAAAAAATTAATACTTGAAATAATATTTTCTTCAATACTAATGAACAATTACGTATTAGTAGCAAATAAATAATACATTTATTATTTGTCAATTGTTGGTGCAGATGTTGGTAGTTGGAAAGCCATGTCCAAGATTAACATCGGAACTTAACAATGCGTACCTTAATGAATCGCGTAGATCCGATGCCACGTACAAACTTTATTATAATCGGCTTTCGGAAATCACCGGACAGACAATCAGTACAGTAACAGACGTAGAATTTCTATATAATACTTTGGAAATTGAGGTAAGATCAACTTTTTACATTATTTTTAATACGTATTCGCTAATTAAATATGAATGAAACAAGTTGCTCAAGTGAAATACATAAATATCTATCAATAAACGAGCATCCAATTATTAAATTAATTTACTAATGAAAATTTTTGTATAATATTTTTATAAATATTATCAAGCGAAGGGAGATTTTATTTTATTTTTTTTTTTTTTTTTTTTTTTTTTTTTTTTTTTGTAAGTCAATGGATATTTTTTCCGAACGTTATAACTTTATTATAATTTATATTTATCTTAATAATGCTATATTATTTGAATTTTTTTTACCAGGAAATGAATGGTTTGGTACTTCCGCCCATGATAAAAGAATATTTTACTTTAGAAATGCGAGAAATAGCTTCTCGTAGTTATACATTATTTACGAGTAATAAGATGCAACAACGGCTTCGTGGAGGTTATTATTATTATTATTATTATTATTATTATTATTATTATTATTATTATTATTATATAATTAACGAGAAATGAAATTTCTTTTGGAAGCTTCATTGATTAATGAAGATATAATATTTTAAGGTCCTTTATTGAAACACATTTTGGAAACCATGAAATACGGCAATGCGAATGAGAAAATGTTTTTATATTGTACACACGACGTTCATATTGTCAATGTTTTACGAACAATGGGATTTACCAATGAACTTTTCAAACTTGACTTTGGTGTTACTCTTATATTTGAGCTACTACAAACTCATAAATCGCAATCGCAACAGGTTCGAGTAAGTATCAAATATGAAAAATCTTTTAGTCTATAAGAAAGCCTATGACTCAATATTTAATGTATGAGTTAATTTTCATTATAATTTCAGAATTAACTTTAACATTTTGAAATTACATATAACAATGTAATCAATAAGTACTCCTTCCTATTACCCAGTCTTAAAAAGATAATATTATTTTTTAAGCATTTAATCTATTTTAATTGAACAATAAAACGACTGTTTAACGACTAAATTTTAATAATTCAATAATTTAAACAAATGTTTTTTCTGTCTCTGAAACAAAAAATTAACTTACATTAAAAATAAAAATAGAATTTAATATATATTAAAAAATATATATATTAAATTATATTTTCAAAAAATTTAAATACTATGCGTGTATATCGATAAATATGAAAAATTGACATTACTTGGACTTATTTTATCTCGATTCTCTATTATTTCCCGATTTTGTCCTATGGCATTTTATGAAATCAACGATTAAGAGAGAGGGTGGGGCGGGGCGGGGTGGGATGGAGAGGGAATGAAAGAATGTGATATACTAAACGATATTAAATGGAAGCAAATCAACTTAATTTGCGCGGCTCTTCAAAGAAAGAGAAAATCCAATAGATCAACAGAAGAAGGCACTTCTTTCGCAATTAAAAACAATCAATAAGAGAAAAAAGTACAATTAGATAAGTTTTTAATACTTATCATTCGGTATTTCTTTCTCCCCTCTCATCTCTCTCTCTCTCTCTATCTCTCTCTATCTCTATCTCTTTCTTTCTCTTTCTCTTAGAGCTACAGTCGAATGAAGCTATCCATCTGACTCATATAACTAACTTCTAAAAAACTTAATAGCAAACTTAATAGTCATGAAAATGACTGAATTGCGGCTGTGTTATGAATCGATAAATTTTCTAAGAAACGATGCTACTTTCGCTTATTTCAGCGAAAGTAATATAATTTAAATTTATGTATAATAATATACATATATATATATATATATATGCTTTTATCAACTATTCGAATGTTTACAAATTTAAAAGTGTTCATTGCCCTTTTTGAACTTATTATATTTTCTATAAATTTATAGGATTAAGTGTCTATAACTATGAATAATTGTATGCAGATGAATATAATCATATTAATTTTCACACTTGTCGATAATTCTTACGCGTCGAATTATAAGGTATTTATTAATAATTGTTTTATATTATAGATTTCAATGTTAAATAATACCGAAACAACAGTACCATATCTACTGAAAATCCCTGGCTGTGAATATCCTTGCCTGCTTGACAAATTATTCGATATTTGGCAAGATGTACTTCCTGTCAATTGGGATTTAGAGTGTCAACAACAATCTTCATAGTATTAAAAAATATACTCATGCAATAGTGTGTATATATATATATATATATATGCTTTTATCAACTATTCGAATGTTTACAAATTTAAAAGTGTTCATTGCCCTTTTTGAACTTATTATATTTTCTATAAATTTATAGGATTAAGTGTCTATAACTATGAATAATTGTATGCAGATGAATATAATCATATTAATTTTCACACTTGTCGATAATTCTTACGCGTCGAATTATAAGGTATTTATTAATAATTGTTTTATATTATAGATTTCAATGTTAAATAATACCGAAACAACAGTACCATATCTACTGAAAATCCCTGGCTGTGAATATCCTTGCCTGCTTGACAAATTATTCGATATTTGGCAAGATGTACTTCCTGTCAATTGGGATTTAGAGTGTCAACAACAATCTTCATAGTATTAAAAAATATACTCATGCAATAGTGTGTATATATATATATATATATATGCTTTTATCAACTATTCGAATGTTTACAAATTTAAAAGTGTTCATTGCCCTTTTTGAACTTATTACTAACAACCACACGAACGTGCGATGATTATTTATAAAGAGTAGAGCTGAACACGAGTGTGCTTTAAAGAACTTAAATATGAATTTAATGCAAGTACTTCATTTTCATTGTTAAGGATACTCATTGATATAAAGTTTGAGAATAACAGCTGAACAAATTACGATTAGTATTAACTGAATTGCAAATGTATCGTTAATATTCATAATTCTTATTACATAATTCTTAAACTATAGAGAAACTATTTATGAAGATATTTTCCAAATGAATTGATATTTCATGTTATTTTAACAATCGGAAACAAATTTCTAAGTAGCTTTAATTTTTTAATAAATATAATAATGTAAGAGAATTATATTGCAAGTACGAATAAAGAATATAAATATAAATATAAGCCGTTTGTATCAAATTACATCAAATAGTGAGGTAGGATTTTTAATTATATTTCATATTATTGTATACTCATATACTCATTGTGTAAGTAGCATTTAACGACAGTATAAATAATGTAAATTTTTATATTGAATATTTACTTATAAATATCATTATCTTGCTTCGATTGTTTTTTCATTTCATTGCACACAATTTGATAAACACTGATTTCATACCTAACCTTTTCTTATCAAATCTTGATATTTTTATATTTACAATATTCCCGTACTGAAACAACACAACATTATGCCAAAAGGTATTTATTATCTATTTATTTTAATTTAACATTAATTAATTAAATTGAAAAATACATCATTTAAATAGCTTATTGAATTGCAAAAATATAGTGGAAACATGGAATGGCCAGTTTATAAAGGATGAGCCAATAGACGAGCAGACGAGCCTGAAAAGGACTCAGCAGTGGATCATGTCATTTTTAAACTCCTTAGTAGGTCGTATAAAAGACACTTTTGCAGAGTTTGATATGACGCGAATGTTTAAAATCCTCGAATCAATCATCACTTTTAATAGCCCCGGTGAATATCACTCGAAGCACTGTAAAAATTGTCAACATTATTCTAACAACCATTCGCATCACCGGCATTGCTATAGCTGCAAGCGAAATTACGAAAAAGCACTGAAGAATAGAAAAATTATACTAAATAAAAAATGTGCATTTTCTTGTCAGGGCAGAAAAGCAGATTGTATATGTAATAGCAAAAGAAATCAAGGTTGCTGTCGTAATTATCAGAACTTTATCACACAAGACTTTTGTCAGAGAATTGACAAGATTCCTTCTTGTAAGTATAATATATTATATTAAACTGACGTAATTCATAATAAAGCTTTAAAAGCTCATAAAAATAGACACGACTATGTTCGCGTACTTATATTATATTTATGAAAATACTTATTATTTACCGGATGAAAAATAATATCGCAATAAAGCTATTTTCGTAATTTTTACATGTAATTTTTACATGATTATATTTGTCGTTAGATTTATAAATAATATTTACATACGACGAACTAATGCGATGAGATAATATGACTGATGAATTAAGTTAAAATAATTTTATTCTCATACCACTTATCAAGATAAGGACGCATAATATCGGGATAAAAAGTGACAATTTATTATGTTTTACTTTTTGTTTTTTTTTTTTTTTTTTTTTTTTTTTTTTTTTTTTTTTTTTTTTGTATCTCAAAGGTCGTTTGCGCTTTTCACTCTTACAATCATAAAATATTCGATAAATTAGTCGTTTCAGTTGTTAAAATGTAATTTCCCTAAGGGGCTTACATTGACTAGAGATTAAAAAAAAGGAGAGACAGAAAGTGGGAGAGAGAGAGAGAGAGAGAGAGAGAGAGAGAGAAATGAGGGAAAAAAGAAATAAAAAATATAATCGTAAGTTGACGCTTAGAAGCACGGCGAAAGATTATTTCTTATCTCTACGTAAGCAGTAATACAATTAACAATCGTCGAACAACGAGCACATACAACCATTAAGATAGTAAGCTTCATCTTGCAAATGTAATAAACCGTCTCGCGGGCCTAGACTCGAACTTTGATCTTCTCGCGCACCTCCGACGATTAATCATCCGCAGTGAAAAAAGCCGAATTACCGAAGCGCACGACGACGACTTGGTCGATCCAATTTGTACGCCACCCCTATCCCCGTACGTCCAAATCTCCTGATCTCCTGATTGTTCCGCAGGTTCGGATGAGCACTGCCACGGGATGAATCGGTCGACCGATCTATCGACGAGGAGCTCGACGAGCGCCGCGCTCAAGGCCTGCGCAATAATAAACGCGGTGGCATCCGGTCGGCCGAAGCGGCGGCGGAACGAGTGGAGCGACAGACCGACCACGAGATGACGAGGTCGAACCACGCGACCGTCTCGTCCATACGCAACTTGCATTTCCCATTCCATTCTCACCCAAGGACAAACGGGGACGAACTTACCAGGAGCAATAGGGACGAGCTCGACGTGAAATTAGCGCTCAGTGTTGCCGATCGTTAAGTCGAGACCGACAGGCCTGATCGAATTGTCTTTCTCGTTAGTTCGTCGTAGTCTTCGTAGTCTTAATCGTTAGTTCGTCAGACTTGGCGTGGCGAGACGGGCGAATGTTGTGACGCGCGTCGCTCGATTCGCTCGGGCCTTTCAATTCCTGCCTGATCTCATTCGGTCGTTATCAACTTCGACACGGATATTATTATACTTGTGCGGCGATGAGACAAAGTTTCCACGCATTCGTTAGCAGTTAACGATCTCCGATAAAGTTTTATGAATGATCGTAAGAGTTAGCGAACGCTGCATCGAACAAGCTCTCCTTCTTATTTCACTGCCTTCGAATTTCCATTAGCTATCCACCTACGCTCGTCTCCTCTATCATTATCAACGAGTTCCACCAAATCGTAGAACTATGCCTACGGCTTTAGGACTCGTTGGAACAGGCCGTATGAATTATAATTTCATGTAACAATGTATTCGATTGTAGTATTTTCTTTTCGGCGTAATCTTTATATATAAACAAAATATAAAATAATAAAAAAAAATAATTTTTTCACTCCTTACATTGGCCTACGTTCGATTATAGCGCTACATTTTTTTCCAAATTCAGTGCGTAAGGAAATTAATTTCGTGATAGATAATTTTATTTAACTGTAGTATTTACTCGATAATTAGTTAGTCATTAGCTTCCTTTCGCTATGTCATAACATTACTATCAAATTATGAATATTTTATAAATTTAAAAAATTCAATACACAAATAAAGTACCAAGATGTTACATTTTATTATAATTCGTACTGGAAAAGAGATAGAGAGAGAGAGAGAGAGAGAGAGAGAGAGAGAGCGAAATAATAATGTGTATTATAACAATTTATAAAATTCTAAAGATTATAATTAAAAAACTTCCTTTCAGCAATTTCGATATTAAATTTTAAACTCAATCATTATTGTAAAATATTGTTGATGCCATTAATTGTTAATATATTTACATTAATTTTGACCTTAATCTATTAAGTAAATCGACAATAATATTGAACCACATTGCTAATAATAATAATATATACGTTCGCAATATTTATCTAAATAAGGAGTAATTTCTTAGTCACTGATTCGCAATCGTTCAATACTATTTTTCAATATTTTCTGAACAAAGTTATAAATTATAAATGTTATGATCTCCTTGTTAGACGTTTGTTTTACAAATAAAATGATAAAGATATATATATATATATATATACTTGTAACAAAAATATCATTTGCTATATTTATTGTATAATAATAGTGCTTCGGTAATTAATAAAAATTTAATCAAGAAGATGGGCATGATAAATCCTTCGCTAATGCAACTAATTCATAATTTCTTTATTTAATCATTAAATTTAACTAAAGATTAGTGAGTATACAAGGTTTATAAAAAAATATAAATTTCTTTTATAAATATTAATATATTCTTAAAAATTGATATAAAAAAAGAAATAAGTGAAATTATTACTATTTTGGAATTGAAATACTTTGTAATGTGTTAAATATTATTGCTTTTATTTCAACTTAAATCATTACTATTCAGGTTATAAAAATAACCAATACTTACAAATACTCAAATTAAATTATTATGCAATTAGTTTTAATCATTATTCGAAAAAAAATCGTTGAGAGATTTAAGCTTTCTTCAGAATATGCAACAATATAATAGATTATTCTGCAATATAACTCGATTCATAAATAATTTATGTTAATACATACGTTAAATGTCATATATGAATATAAATAAAAAAAAAATTTTTATATATATATATATATATATACTTCCAAATATTTATACAATTTCTTGAATTTTTATAATAATTATGGAAATAAAGAATAAATAAATTACAAAACTAACTATAAAAAAAAAAAAAAAAATTATTATTACATCTCCATGGGGTCTCGCTAATTATGCCATTATTGGTTTGTGTCTGGCTCACTTGTTGATAAGACCATACGTGTAATTACTTATGCACACTCAATTCCGATAATGACATTTTTGTAGAGACGGTAATATTGTGGGAAAAGGGATATAAAGAAAAAATTAATAATAAAACGCTGTTGAAATTGAGCTAAAATAATTTATTTTATCTCATTCACCGATAAACGGAAATATACAATTTAATAGCACAATTTAAAATTTATTATGAATAAAGTATAATATATATATATAAACAAAAAGAAATAATTAATACAAACAAGAAAATAGTAGTCGATTTATTCTCACAATACCACTTCTGTTTACTGCAAAAATCTCTTTTTAATTCTTTTCGAGGGGCAATGCATTTTCAATTGTGATTAGAAACTCCACTGAAAAACCCATCTCCAAATACCCATCTCTTTTTAAATCTATATCTGTCTCCTTGTAATGTATCGGTAATATTCCAGAGTTAAATACTCTTGTGGCTCTTAATAATTTTTCTTCTACAACTCTACCCATCTTGATAAACAAATTGACCAAACTGTCACTCCATAAATCTATTTTTAAATTTCTAAGGGAATGAATTTAACCTCGTTTCTGCATTGGAAACTTTTTGCTACAAATTTCTTTTTAATGTACACTACTCTCGATATAAATATTTTGCTGAAAGTACAAATAAAGTAAAGGTGTTATCACTCAAAAACGCTATAAATATAATCATGGGAATATAAATAATCGTTACGTTGACTTTATTTACACTTTCAACAAAATAATTATATTACGAGTTACATAAATCTGTAAATTATGAAATATTATTTCAATAATTAATACATATACATATATATATATTGAGCTTCATGTTAAAAAAATCTAATGGACAATATTTTAATTAACCAATATACTATCGTAAAAATTATGGATACAAAAAATTTAATTTTGTTGGATTTTTATAATATAAAAGTTAATTGATGGATATTTTATAATATAAAATAAGAAAGTATATATAAATCTATAAGAACTGAGGGAAATTACATTATCGGTGAGTAAGCCGTATAATAATAATGATGAAAAAAAAAGCGAATCATTCGGCTAAAGTAATGCAGACGTAAAATAAGAGTAAAAACATTAAAAGCTTATAAATCAACAAGTACATTAAACATTGAAATGATTTTATTACTATAAATATATATTTAATTATTATGATTATTATTATAACTATTATTATTTTACAATTTATTTTTTTTTTAGATGGAATTAATTATATATGATAATAAGTACTTTATTGATGTTTCCAGAAATAATTAAGAAATATAACAAGTAATTAATATAAAATTTAATTATTTTATTATTTTAAAAATCGTTATTTTTTTACATTATCAATCACATAGACTTGCGTATATATAGATGAGATAAAAGTGTAATTGTAATTGAATGATTTTTGAAGAGTAGATGAGAATTAAAGCATATATAACAGAAAGGATAAATAATATATAAATAATTTATATAGAAGAGAAGCATAAGTAGAGCAATAAGTAAAGTTAATATAACTTTTAAAATGTTATTGTGTGGTAAGTCACGTTGATACGGTAATGGAAGCACTATGAAAAATGCAAAATTACGTGATAAGTATTAGACTAAAAAAAATGAAAGTAATCAAAAATTATTGCCATGCATCAGCAGTTGACGTATATCATAATTGGTAATTTTTATAAAAACCGATCAGAGGAAAATAGTCGATTATAAATTTTTATTTATAGCACGTAATATAACGTATATATTATTTCAATGTGTAATTTGTCTCGATTTAAAATCCAGCATATAAATAATAATTTCAATTATCCGTTTAGCACCATCGCTATACGCAGTAAAATTTATATTAAAAAAAAAAAAAAAAAAAAATTATTTAAAATATATATATATATATATATATATATATATATATTATCGTATTTGGACGATAAAATATTGAGTTTAAAGATATTTTAAATCGTGGCTTTTTTGATTAAATGAACAGTAAATTTATATGTTTTCCCATTACAATGTCAGCTGAAGAATGCAACAAATTGGCCTTAAATAATATTTCATTAAGCTAAAATATGTGTACATAATATTAGAATTCTATTTTCATATCAAATAGAAAATAAAATGTTCAAACTCCTAGTGTAATGGAATGC